TGGGCTCACAAAAGTTGGGATCCGAAAGTTCCTGGAAGTCGCAAACAGATCTATGTTTGGAATTTCTGATGTCTGTCCTATCAAATCGAATGCCTCTTCCTTGAGAGTCCATTTGGTTGAGATCACCCTGTCCTGTCGAGATAATGAGTCCGCTAAGATATTCTTCTAAACTGAACTTAATCATTTTGAAACAAATAAAACAAAGGGATCCTTTATTAAATCTAAATCAAAATGGGCAGAACAGGGAGAAAACCAAGGAGATACTTTTTAAATTTGGAATTTAGAAATTTTCTGAACAAGTCTATATCAGAAATTCAAACAAAAGAGGTGAGGTGAGGTGAAATTGGGTTTAACGTTGTGCTTGAGAATATTTTGCTCATATGAGCTGGTTTTATAGTGCTAGCTCACTGAGATACCATGCCGCAGTGAAGCATGAATGCCCCACTCAGACACATTATACTGACTCCGAGCCGACCAGTCCTTGTTGAACCCATTAATGCCGAGGGCCAGGCAGGGACCAACAAGTACCATATTTTAACCTCTTTTGGTATGACGCGGTCGGGGATCGAACCCGCGACCTTCCGCTCTCCGGGCGGATGCTCTAACCACTACACCACGGAGGCGGTCTCAAACAAAAGATGGATCAACCATTAAAGATCAGGAAGAAATACTAAAGGAAACCCAAACCATTTATAAAAAAACTTTATAAAAATGAAAAGAGCACACAAGTTAATTTTGATTCTTTGTTAAATAAATATGATATACCAAAACTAAGTGAAGACAGTGCCGCAACTTGAGAGGGCGAACTAATATATGAGGAAACACTAGAAGCATTGAAAAAAATGAAAACGGAAAAACCCTGGACCAGACGGTTTTACAACAGAATTTTTAAAATTCTTTTTGATAGACTTAAAATAAATTCTTGATAAATTCTTTAAATTATGCATATCGAAATGAAAATCTATAAGTTACTCAGAAACAAGGATTAATTACATGCCTACCAAAAGAAAACAAACCAAAACTATACTGTAAGCCATTAAAAACGCAATTGGTATTTGTTGTCCTGAAACTTACAAAAGTTCTATTGAAGATTTGTTCCTGCGATACAGAGGATGTAGGGATAAAAGGCTGTTATTCTGGCCCATTTCGAGTTCGAGTCCCGGAGCATTCCTCTCACATGAACTTTGATACTTAAAACTGAACCTGTGACAAAAGCACAAGGAATTGTGGAACTCATGCCACTCATGCCATACTTGACACAAGACGAAAGGAACCAGGTTATCGGTATGGTCAGCCACGGTGCTTCAGATGTGATGATTGCCAGGCACTTTAATGTGCATCCATCCACTGTAAGTCGACTCAGCACAGTTTTTCGGGCTACCGGAAGTGTTCCGAGTTTCACACTTGCGAAATTGGTTCCAAACAGCTGATGATTAGGCAAGGAGGACAATTGGGACAAGTCAACATCATTTCAGCGCCCAAACGGTGCAAGGACGCCTTGCTGCCTTCAACATCCCGGTGTCGTCACCCGTACCGTGGTCCAACCTTATTGCATCCCCACAGACTTGCCAGACAGCGATGGGCAGCAAATGGGGCCAATCTTGGCAATAGGACATGGCCAAATGTCATTTTTTCAGATGAATCCAGGTTTAACTTATCCTTTGCAGATGGACGTCAACAGATTTATTGATGTAAAGGAGAAAGACTTGCGCCAAACTGTGTCCTTGAACATGATCGTTTTGGAGGGGGTGATGTCATGATCAGACCACAGACCATCAGAGGCTGCAGACCATCCAACAGCTGTTCCTGAGAAATGTGTGTCTTTCAATGCCCCAAAGACTGCGAGCATGTCTTGCAGCGCACGGTGGACACACACGATATTGACTGCAAGTGACCCCTCCTTTGTGCGATGTCGTTGTTGCGTCACTGATGTTGTTGTTTGTTGTGTATGTGAATATGAACTAACACGCATAACGTGTATCGGTTATCTCCCTTAGTCTGGGCATGTCTATACAGCGTTTCCTGTAATAAACTTGTCTCGTACCTGCCACCCGAGTGTTCGGTTGTGTTGTAATAGCTCTCCCATATAAACTTACATTTGTGTTGGAACCCGAGCCTGGGGACACTAAAGTGGCGACGAGGATGAACACCACCGATATGGAAGCCAGCTTTTAACTACGTTGGAGCACAAGACCGGCACCGGGTGGTAATTTTGTAAATATTTCACGAAGTTTGAATTCAGCCGTCTGCCATTTTTTTTCCTATGTGCGCATACCACGTGCTCGGGCAGACAGGCATTAGAGACTGGGATTTCATAGTCGGGAATTTTTATGAACTGTTTATTAAGAAGAAAATGGCAGGGAAATTTTTTATAGAAAATTTTGACGATTCAAGTGATGATTGGCCAACGTGACTGTGAGAGATTAGAACAGAAACTTCATCTTTAGTGAAACTGGCGCCAGACAAGAGAGTTGCTGCGCTGTTGAGTTTGGTAGGAGGGAAGACTTATAGCTTGTTGCGAGATTTGATTGCACCGGCTAAACCTGCTGAGAAAACTCTTAAACATTTGACAGAACTTTTGAGAAATCCCTTGTGCCCTAAGCCATTGCTGATAGCTGAACATTTCCGCTTCCATAAGAGAGATCAGCTACCTACAGAATCTGTGTCTGAATATTATGCAGAATTGAAGAAATTGTCTAGAACAAGTGAGTTTGGCGTATTTCTTGAAGATGCACTGCGAGATCGTTTTGTGTGTGGAATTCGTACAGAATGCAGTCAGAAACGTCTGTTATCTGAAGATGGACTTAACTGTAGTAAAGCACTATCGATTGCTGTTGCCATGGAAACTGCATCTAAGGACACTAGAGAACTTCAAGGTGGGAGGCTACAAGCAACTAACAGAGTTGTACAGTTTCAAAACAGAGAAAAATGGGGGAAGAAAAAGAACACAGCAAGTAAATATACACCATGTTGGAGATGTGGTAACAAGGGACATTCTGAAGATAGATGTATATTCAAGGATGAAACATGTAATGGATGTAAACAGAAGGGACATATCAAGAGAGTATGTTTAATACATTCTGGAGATAGATGTATATTCAAGGATGAAACGTAATGGATGTAAACAGAAGGGACATATCAAGAGAGTTTGTAAAAATGTAAAATCTTCGGGTAAGACCTTCAAGAAGAAAGTTCACGCAGTCGAAGATCGTGATCAGAGTAGTGATAGTGACTGTGACTTAGCATATGTGAAGAAAGTTGACAACTTAGATGATGATGACACTATATGGGTACAACCACTGATCAACGATAAACCAGTCAGGATGGAGCTTGATACTGGAGCTTCTCTTTCACTCATTTCGGAACAAGACTTCAACAAGTATCTTCCTGGAGTACCATTAACAGATACTGACGTTCATCTGAAGACCTATACAGAAGAAAACGTTTCAACTGTGGGACAGGTGACCGTCCGTGTTAGGATACAGAACACCGAGGGAAACACGGTTGAGGGTGACGTCGACCTCATTGTTGTGAAGAGGGGAGGTCCACCACTTTTCGGAAGAAACTGAGTAAAGAAGCTACAACTAGACTGGAGATCAATCAAGCAGATCAATGTAATCAACTCAGTGGCCAAGACAACCAATGTCAACAAGAGAGTAGAAGCATTGCGTCAACAGTTCTCAGAAATATTTGAACCAGGTATTGGAACATTAACTTCAATTAAAGCCAAGTTAACCTTGAAAGAAGATGCACAACCTAAATTCTGTAAACCAAGGCAAGTACCGTTTGCTTTACGCCCTAAAGTCGAAGCGGAGTTAGAAAGGGTTGAAGCTGAAGGGATATTATCCAGAGTATCTACTAGTGAATGGGCAACTCCTATTGTTCCAGTTGTAAAACGTTCGCAAGAAGTGAGAATCTGCGGAGATTTCAAAGTGACAGTGAACCCTCAGCTTAGAGTTGAACAGTATCCTCTACCTAGGATTGATGATATCTTCACAAGTCTTTCTGGTGGAACTCGTTTCAGCAAAATTGACTAGAGAAATGCTTACCTACAGATGGAGGTTGATGAAGATTTCAAGGAACTTCTAACAATCAACACCCACAAAGGACTATTTCAATACAACCGCCTTGTTTTGGAATAGCCTCAGCCTCGCTATATGGCAGAAAGCTATAGATCAAGTTCTTCAGGGTATACCAATGACAGAGTGCCTACTCGACCATATGATCATGACTTGTCATAGTGATGATGAACATCTTGGTAATTTAGAGCGTTTGTTCGAGAGACTGAAGGAAAACAATCTATGTGTAAACAAAGAAAAGTGTGAATTCTTCAAAGAGAAAATCCAGTACTGTGGCCATGAAATTGATAAAGAAGGTTTACACAAGTCTTCAGACAAAATCAAGGCAATTGAGGAAGTACCCAAACCGCTAAGATGTGTCACAAGTCAGATCCTTCCTAGGACTAGTCAACTACTATCACAGATTCCTACCAAACATCTCATCAGTTCTACATCCTTTGAACAACTTGCTGGAACACAAGACTGAATTCAAGTGGGACAAGAAATGTGACAATGCTTTTGAAGAAGCTAAACGTTTGATTACGTCAGAACAAGTTTTGACCCACTATGATCCGGCTAAACCTGTTCGTGTTGCCAGTGATGCTTCACCATATGGGATCAGAGCTGTGATGTCACATGTGTTCCCTGACGGAAGTGAACGACCTATTGTATTCGCCTCTCGTTCACTCAATAAGGCAGAACGGAATTATTCCCAGATCGACAAGGAAGCACTTAGTATTGTCTTCGCTGTCAAGAAGTTTCATGTCTATTTGTATGGGAGACACTTCACACTTCACCAGCCTCTTACTTCCATATTTCATCCAGAGAAATCCATTCCTGCTATGACAGCAGCCCGTCTACAACGTTATGCTCTGTTCCTGTCCCGACACCAGTATGACATTGAATACAGAAACACAACCAAACATGGGAATGCTGACCCGCTGACAACACCTGTGCACCCATGGCTATGGCCTACAGCATCATGGGAAAGAGTGCACATAGACTTTGCTGGACCTTTTATGGATCGAATGTTCATGGTCGCAGTGGACGAGTATTCCAAATGGCCAGAAGTGGAAATCATGAAATCAACTACTGCTACAGCGACTGTTTCAGTCCTACGCCAGATGTTTGCTCGTCATGGAATACCAGACAACATAGTGACAGATAATGGTCCACAATTCATCTCAGAAGAAATGTCCAGTTTTACAAAGAAGAATGGTATTAAACATACTCTCTCAGCACCATATCATCCAGCAAGCAACGGACTAGCAGAGCGATTCGTCCAATCTTTCAAGAACTCCCTGAAAGCAGAAAAGAAAACCATAACAGTTGAACAGAAACTTGCAAACTTCCTACTGGCTTACAGAAATACGCCACATGCAACAGGGGAAACACCAGCCATCCTGAAGTGTGGAAGACGCTTAAAGACCAGGCTTGACCTAGTGAAACCAAATCTACGCAAGACTGTTCAAGAACGGCAAGCTGCAAGTATGGATCCAGAGAAAGCAGCCCGACAGTTGTCACCAGGACAACATGTTCTCATCAGGTCTTACAGGACAGGTGAGAAGTGGATGACTGGAGTGGTTCTCGAGAAAACAGGGATTTTGTCCTATAAAGTTCGAGGCTCTAACGGAACAGTTGCTCGACGTCACATCGATCAGCTGCTCGACAACACAACGGGTGCTGACACCAACCCCAGTACTGAGATGATGTCATCTGATATTCAGCGCGACATAATGAGACCGATGGTGAACGGCAGTGTGACTACCAAACCAACCATCGCAGATAGTGTCAACACACAAGGTGATGCTCAAGGAAATGTGTCTGTGCAGTGTGATACAGGTTGCAGTGATAATCCTGCTCCTGTTGAGTGTGATCTGGAAGGCAGACCGATTCCAGACCGTCTTCCGGAACCAGTGTCGTCGGTACCTCGCAGAAATCCTGTACGAAGCCGGCGAGGGCCGAACAAGTTGGATTTGTAGGTCCATATGATTGACTGACATTGTTCCTCATTTCGTGTAAATGTGTATATAAGTTGACCTGCACCATAGCTCGAGTTATAGACTGTAAATGTGTTAATCAATCTCAATTGAGCAGCAGTTCTGTCAACACTACGAGGATTAAGAATAGTGGGGAGGAGTGTTGTGTATGTGAATATGAACTAACACGCATAACGTGTATGGGTTATCTCCCTTAGTCTGGGCATGTCTATACAGCGTTTCCTGTAATAAACTTGTCTCGTACCTGCCACCCGAGTGTTCGGTTGTGTTGTAATAGCTCTCCCATATAAACTTACATTTGTGTTGGAACCCGAGCCTGGGGACACTAAAGTGGCGACGAGGATGAACACCACCGATATGGAAGCCAGCTTTTAACTACGTTGGAGCACAAGACCTGCACCGGGTGGTAATTTTGTAAATATTTCACGAAGTTTGAATTCAGCCGTCCGCCATTTTTTTTTCCATGTGCGCATACCACGTGCTCGGGTAGACAGGCATTAGAGACTGGGATTTCATAGTCGGGAATATTTATGAACTGTTTATTAAGAAGAAAATGGCAGGGAAATTTTTTATAGAAAATTTTGACGATTCAAGTGATGATTGGCCAACGTACTGTGAGAGATTAGAACAGTACTTCATCTTTAGTGAAATTGCGCCAGACAAGAGAGTTGCTGCACTGTTGAGTTTGGTAGGAGGGAAGACTTATAGCTTGTTGTGAGATTTGACTGCACCGGCTAAACCTGTTGAGAAAACTCTTAAACATTTGACAGAACTTTTGAGAAATCACTTGTGTCCTAAGCCATTGCTGATAGCTGAACGTTTCCGCTTCCATAAGAGAGATCAGCTACCTACAGAATCTGTGTCTGAATATTATGCAGAATTGAAGAAATTGTCTAGAACATGTGAGTTTGGCGTATTTCTTGAAGATGCATTGCGAGATCGTTTTGTGTGTGGAATTCGTACAGAATCCAGTCAGAAACGTCTCAGTTATCTGAAGATGGACTTAACTGTAGTAAAGCACTATCGATTGCTGTTGCCATGGAAACTGCATCTAAGGACACTAGAGAACTTCAAGGTGGGAAGCTACAAGCAACTAACAGAGTTATACAGTTTCAAAACAGAGAAAAATGGGGGAAGAAAAAAGAACACAGCAAGTAAATATACACCATGTTGGAGATGTGGTAACAAGGGACATTCTGAAGATAGATGTATATTCAAGGATGAAACATGTAATGGATGTAAACAGAAGGGACATATCAAAAGAGTTTGTAAAAATGTGAAATCTTCAGGTAAGACCTTCAAGAAGAAAGTTCACGCAGTCGAAGATCGTGATCAGAGTAGTGATAGTGACTGTGACTTAGCATATGTGAAGAAAGTTGACAACTTTGATGATGATGACACTATATGGGTACAACCACTGATCAACGATAAACCAGTCAGGATGGAGCTTGATACTGGAGCTTCTCTTTTACTCATTTCGGAACAAGACTTCAACAAGTATCTTCCTGGAGTACCATTAACAGATACTGACGTTCATCTGAAGACCTATACAGAAGAAGACGTTTCAACTGTGGGACAGGTGACCGTCCGTGTTAGGATACAGAACACCGAGGGAAACACGGTTGAGGGTGACGTCGACCTCATTGTGGTGAAGAGGGGAGGTCCACCACTTTTCGGAAGAAACTGGGTAAAGAAGCTACAACTAGACTGGAGATCAATCAAGCAGATCAATGTAATCAACTCAGTGGCCAAGACAACCAATGTCAACAAGAGAGTAGAAGCATTGTGTCAACAGTTCTCAGAAATATTTGAACCAGGTATTGGAACATTAACTTCAATTAAAGCCAAGTTAACCTTGAAAGAAGATGCACAACCTAAATTCTGTAAACCAAGGCAAGTACCGTTTGCTTTACGCCCTAAAGTCGAAGCAGAGTTAGAAAGGCTTGAAGCTGAAGGGATATTATCCAGAGTATCTACTAGTGAATGGGCAACTCCTATTGTTCCAGTTGTAAAACGTTCGCAAGAAGTGAGAATCTGCGGAGATTTCAAAGTGACAGTGAACCCTCAGCTTAGAGTTGAACAGTATCCTCTACCTAGGATTGATGATATCTTCACAAGTCTTTCTGGTGGAACTCGTTTCAGCAAAATTGACTAGAGAAATGCTTACCTACAGATGGAGGTTGATGAAGATTTCAAGGAACTTCTAACAATCAACACCCACAAAGGACTATTTCAATACAACCGCCTTGTTTTTGGAATAGCCTCAGCGCCTGCTATATGGCAGAAAGCTATAGATCAAGTTCTTCAGGGTATACCAATGACAGAGTGCCTACTCGACCATATGATCATGACTTGTCATAGTGATGATGAACATCTTGGTAATTTAGAACGTTTGTTCAAGAGACTGAAGGAAAACAATCTACGTGTAAACAAAGAAAAGTGTGAATTCTTCAAAGAGAAAATCCAGTACTGTGGCCATGAAATTGATAAAGAAGGTTTACACAAGTCTTCAGACAAAATCAAGGCAATTGAGGAAGTACCCAAACCGCAAGATGTGTCACAAGTCAGATCCTTCCTAGGACTAGTCAACTACTATCACAGATTCCTACCAAACATCTCATCAGTTCTACATCCTTTGAACAACTTGCTGGAACACAAGACTGAATTCAAGTGGGACAAGAAATGTGACAATGCTTTTGAAGAAGCTAAACGTTTGATTACGTCAGAACAAGTTTTGACCCACTATGATCCGGCTAAACCTGTTCGTGTTGCCAGTGATGCTTCACCATATGGGATCAGAGCTGTGATGTCACATGTGTTCCCTGACGGAAGTGAACGACCTATTGTATTCGCCTCGCTCACTCAATAAGGCAGAACGGAATTATTCCCAGATCGACAAGGAAGCACTTAGTATTGTCTTCGCTGTCAAGAAGTTTCATGTCTATTTGTATGGGAGACACTTCACACTAGTGACTGATCACCAGCCTCTTACTTCCATATTTCATCCAGAGAAATCCATTCCTGCTATGACAGCAGCCCGTCTACAACGTTATGCTCTGTTCCTGTCCGGACACCAGTATGACATTGAATACAGAAACACAACTAAACATGGGAATGCTGATGGACTTTCCAGACTTCCTCTCAAGACTGAAAGAACAGGACAAGATACGTCAGATGAGTTCTATGTCCACCAGATTGAAACTCTACCTGTTACTGCAAGTCAACTCAAGAACAGAACTAGAAGAGACCTTGTGCTGTCACAAGTACTAGAACTTACGCTACAAGGTTGGCCAGACTCGTTCCCCAGTGAAGAGCTCAGACCATTCTACACTAGACGGAGAGAACTATCCGTGTGTCAAGGTTGCTTGTTGTGGGGAGTCAGAGTTGTCATACCATCATGTCATCAGAGCCAGTGCTTAGAAGAAATACATACCGGTCACATGGGCGTAGTTCGTATGAAAGCCCTGGCTAGAAGCTATGTATGGTGGCCCAATATCGATTTCCAGATTGAACAGATGGCCAAGATCTGTCAGGGATGCCTGGAGATCAGGAAGAACCCGCTGACAACACCTGTGCACCCATGGCTATGGCCTACAGCCTCATGGGAAAGAGTGCACATAGACTTTGCTGGACCTTTTATGGATCGAATGTTCATGGTCGCAGTGGACGAGTATTCCAAATGGCCAGAAGTGGAAATCATGAAATCAACTACTACAGCGACTGTGTCCTACACCAGATGTTTGGTCGTCATGGAATACCAGACAACATAGTGACAGATAATGGTCCACAATTCATCTCAGAAGAAATGTCCAGTTTTACAAAGAAGAATGGTATCAAACATACTCTGTCAGCACCATATCATCCAGCAAGCAACGGACTAGCAGAGCGATTCGTCCAATCTTTCAAGAACCCCCTGAAAGCAGAAAAGAAAACCATAACAGTTGAACAGAAACTTGCGAACTTCCTACTGGCTTACAGAAATACGCCACATGCAACAACAGGGGAAACACCAGCCATCCTGATGTGTGGAAGACGCTTAAAGACCAGGCTTGATCTAGTGAAACCAAATCTACGCAAGACTGTTCAAGAACGGCAAGCTGCAAATATGGATCCAGAGAAAGCAGCCCGACAGTTGTCACCAGGACAACATGTTCTCATCAGGTCTTACAGGACAGGTGAGAAGTGGATGACTGGAGTGGTTCTCGAGAAAACAGGGATTTTGTCCTATAAAGTTCGAGGCTCTAACGGAACAGTTGCTTGACGTCACATCGATCAGCTGCTCGACAACACAACGGGTGCTGACACCAACCCCAGTACTGAGATGATGTCATCTGATATTCAGCGCGACATAATGAGACCGATGGTGAACGGCAGACTACCAAACCAACCATCGCAGATAGTGTCAACACACAAGGTGATGTGAGTGTGCAGTGTAGTGCCGAGAGCAATGAAAACCCTGCTCAAGGAAATGTGTCTGTGCAGTGTGATACAGGTTGCAGTGATAATCCTGCTCCTGTTGAGTGTGATCTGGAAGGGCGACCGATTCCAGACCGTCTTCCGGAACCAGTGTCGTCGGTACCTCGCAGAAATCCTGTACGAAGCCGGCGAGCGCCGAACAAGTTGGATTTGTAGGTCCATATGATTGACTGACATTGTTCCTCATTTCGTGTAAATGTGTAAATAAGTTGACCTGCACCATAGCTCGAGTTATAGACTGTAAATGTGTTAATCAATCTCAATTGAGCAGCAGTTCTATCAACACTATGAGGATTAAGAATAGTGGGGAGGAGTGTTGTGTTTAAGAAATACACTTCGCTCTACCACCATGTATAGTGTAATAAAACACACTTTTGCCCTGAACTATTATAGTTAAAGCACGAGGACGCTTATAATAGTTCAGGGCGAAAAGTGTGTTTTATTACACTATACATGGTGGTAGAAGGGCTTAACTGTATTTCTTTCTAAGATGCCAAATTTAATACTTTCTAAAGATAATTACGATTAATTTAAGGCAGAAAACAAACGGCGGTGTCGGTGACCTAAATTAAGAATCCTTGCACAGGGCTAACTGGCTGGCTGTTCTATTGATGTGTCTGCCCCTACGTTAAAGGCGAACGTTACCAGAAAAAAACAAATGATAACAGTTTGATGACGGTTTACGTTTGGATCAAATATCTTCTCTGAATTATTTTAATTACATCTGTCATTAACGTAAACCATATGGGGCAATATGAGCGTTGCATTTCTACTACCAGCGTAAGTTTAGATCAGTACATCCAGAGGAAGTTGAGTAGTCAGCGACATTCCACAATTGCATTGTGGGAATGTAAACATTACGAACGTTACAGTGTCGCTGAAAACTTGTGAGTCGAAATGACACATTTTAACCGTCGTGAAAACATAAACGTAATGTTTCCACCAGTGATGTTAGCTGCGTGAAGCAACAGCAAACCAAGAAACTGGATGCAACGGTGTAGTTTACTGTAGGAGGCCGTACGAGGCGATGACAACTGACATGCATCGTGGCGCCGCTTACATTGTGACGTGATGTAAAATGGTTCGATTACTGAGGGGCACACTAGAATGGCGCGAAGTGACGGGATAACGTCATTCAATTGTTACTCATCAAAAACTATACCTTTATTGTCTGATGATGTATTTTTTTTCGATTGTTCTAACCGCTAGGCATCTTAGAAATGTGAATATGAACAATTTCTCTCCTTAACACATCATATAAAATTGCATCAGCTGTTAGCTAATCGAATGATAAATAGAATACCTCTAATAAAAGATGATCAAAAAGGTTTTGTACCAGGAAGATATATTGGTGAGGTCACAAGGCTGATATATGATCAAATGGAGTATACAGAATCTTATCAAATACCAGGACTATTAGTTCTAATTGATTTTGAAAAGGCTTTTGATTCAGTTGATAGAAATTTTATACTAAATGTGTTAAGATTCTTTAATTTCGGACCTAGTTTTCAGAAGTGGATAAGAACTTTTTTTAATGATATGAAGTCAAGTGTACTTGTAAATGGATTTGCTTGCACCTTTTTTCCTATAGCCAGAGGTTGGTTTACAAGGAGATCCCGTATCACCATATATTTTTATGTACTGTGCAGAAAGTTTGGCTATACTTATCAGAAATAATAAAAATATAAAAGGCATTAAAAAAGGAAATATTGAATATGTTCTTGCACAATTTGCTGATGATACTTCCCACCTTTAGATGGCACTGAGAGTAGTCAATATGCCTTGCTGAATACTTTATTTTTTTTGCAAGGTTTTCTGGCTTGAAAATTAATGCTGACAAGACAAGACTGATCTGGATAGGCTCTAAGAAAAGATGTAGATATAAACTCTGTAAAGACTGGAACTTAGATTGGACTCAAAGTAACTTTAAGCTACTGGGTATTATATTTGATGTTGACCTTGACAAAATGGTGAAGTTGAATTATGATAATAAGTTTAAAAAGATAGAGAATGAAATGAAGTTATGGTCAATAAGAACACTTTACCCCAATCGGTAGAAATGTTATTTTGAAATCACTATTACTCTCAAAATTAAACCATCTATTTTCCTCAGTTCCATCACCCCCAGATGAGATAATAAATAAATTTCAACAAGCCTGTTTCAAATTTGTATGGAAAGACAAACCTGATAAAATTAAAAGAGATGTAATTGCTATGCCACCTGAATATGGAGGAATTAGTGTCCCACTAATTAAGAATATTATTTATGCACATAAAATATCATGGATAAAGAGATTATATTACAGTAGCTGCAAATGGAAAGCATTAGTTGAAAGTTGTATACCTAACTACAGAAGACTTTGGTTAGCTGATCCTGAATATATGGAAAAACACATAAAACCTTACATAAGAAATCCTTTTTGGAGAGATGTAATCTCTGCATGGGGATCATATTTACAAAAGCAATATAAGACATTAAACTCAAACGACATGTTAAACCAATGTATTTGGTTTAATTATATGTTTAACATAGGTAACGAGACAATTTTTATAAACAGTTGGTACAATGCAGGTATACACTTTATTTATGATCTAATGAATCCAACCACAGGGGAATTCTATACTTATGAAGAACTACAAAAAATATATCAAGTCAAAACAAATATCTTAAGATATCATAGTATCAAATCTTCCATAATTGCCTGCTTAAAGAGAAGACAAATCATTCTTCCCAAAACACTACCATTTTCTCCAATACTACCATTCAATATATCCAAACTTAGTCTAAGGGTTAAAGGCTCCAAAACCTTTTATCTTTCTTACTAGACCCCAATTACAATAAATCATATGCCCATAAAAGTGGGAAAGAGTCTTTGAAACACAGTATGATAACACAATGTTACGAAACTTATATATGATGCCAAATCGATGTACAAAATGTAGTAATTTGAAATGGTTACAGATGAAGATATTATATGATATTATACCTACAAACATTTTCCTAAATAAAATCAGTCTAAAAGACACACCTATATGTACATTCTGTTCAAAAGAATTAGAAACAATTGTCCATCTATTCTGTAATTGTTGTCATGTCAAAAAGATTTGGGAGAGTTTGACCAGATGGTTTAATGACTGTAACTGAAGGCAACATTGACTTTACACCAGAAAACATCTTACTTGGATTTAAGGGGAAAATAATAATTATCTTTAAATGCAATATGTCTTGTTGTGAAACAGGTAATATATACACACAAAATAAAACAACAAGTTCCCAAATTCCAGCATGTAGTAAGGGAGATATCAAAATACTATGAAATATAATGCTTACTCTACATGCAGTAACAGTGAGTTCTTTACCTTCTGGTCATCCTTCCACAATCTACTTACTGAAAATATTATGTCAGAAAACATATTGTAAGTGTATTTAATCATTATTACCATGATTAAAGTATGGATATATTCACAGAGATAAGGTATGCAAAACATATTCAAAGATATTTATTCATTGTATGAAATGATGGGGATTTTGTGAAATGTATTATTGATGTTTGAATGTATTCTGAGATATGGTACCTCCCTTTTGTTGATGTTAGAACTGTAGAAATAAAGACTCTTCCCGTAAAATAAATACGGCATGCTCTTGAATCTAAGATTGCCCCCAGAAACTTGATCCTCGTGGAAGGGACCAGTTCTGACTTGGTTGAATGAACTATTAGACCCAGATGCGTAAACACGTGAATGATAAAGTTGGTTTGCTTCATGAGAACCGCTGTCACCACATTCCTTGCCAAGAAATCGTCCAGATAACCGTGTATCGCAATCCTTCGAATAAGACGCATCAATCGCCAAACAGGCTGCCGTATCCAATTCCCTACAGTCCTTGAAAGTACAGACCGGTGCATAGTCACGAGAGCCTCTAAAATCCTGTAACTGTTTAAAGTCCTCGTCTAAACTTGGTTGATTGGCTGGGATAACACGATCATGGATGGAATAAATGGGTTTATGAGAAACCCAAGGCAAAGAACTCAAGTTCGTAGCCTTGGAGAGGCCTAAGTTGAAATTCTCCAACACTTTCTTAAGTGATGATGAATGTGTAATGACAGCCTGGGCATCTGTTCGGGGAAGACAACCTGATAATCCGAGTTCCACGGGAAAATCGATCTCCTGCTCATTCGACGGCGGTGGTAGAGTATTAGGATAAAGTTCGTGCAAAAGTTTCAACATTTCCTTAAATGACCAGGACGGCTCTAAATCCTGTGCTGACATGTCCATAGGTTGTACCGTCAACAACCCTTCTCTCATGGAAAACTCCGGTTGTGAAAAGGGATAAACCGATGAATCCTCCTGATCCATCACATTAGACACTAACGGGATTAAGGGCGGATTGTCTGTGTCAAATTACCCTTGCGGGTCCATAGCCATGTCCTCTGAACCGCTAGGTCCATGCAAATCAGACTGCTGGGTTGATACACCGTTATCCATAGCAGCCGACCCAGTGGCCGGGGCGGGAATCACGTGCCGTCTGGACCGAGTCAGACCCGTGAAACGCTTGCAGTCGCATGCTGTATGCGACAGGGAGCAGCCACGGATGGCTGGCTCCCGGGGACAAAGGACACGGGGGTGGTGGCCTGAGACACGGTCACCCTGGACCTGGAGCCGGCTTGGCCGACTCCATCCTCGTCGCTTGAAGCCCTGGGCTTCTCCCCCTGAGGGGACCAGCCTCCTACGTATGCCAGGGCATGGTAACCGGCTTTCCCGGTGACGGTGAAGTGACTTTGGCCCCCGACTCTTGCCATCGACCACCAAGTCACTGCGGCTATCTGCCGTCTTGCCGGATAAAACAGGTTCTTCCAGATGTTTAGACAGGCGATTACATTTTTTGTCATTCCTTATCTCCATATCCCGTACAGATTTATCCATGGCCGCCTGGATATCGGACTTAAATCCCACCAAAAGTTCTGAGAATGCAGATATATCTAACTGGGGAGAGGATTTATATTTTGATCTAGAACGAGATTTCGGTTCAGATTAAATAGATAAGGGCGGAGATCCCTGAACTTTCTTTGACTTAGAACATTCTGATGACGATGAATGTTTACGCTTCCTAACTAAGGAACGTGATTTGTCCATCAACAACCAATCTTCTTCAGACATTTCCTGACACAATAAGCATCGATCCGAACTTGAGCAAGGTAAGCCTATATAACAGCAAGCACACAGAGAGTGGGGATGAACATCCTCCATGAATTTCTGAAATTGGAGACATTTGCTCTGCGCCATACTTGTCAATC